AGCCTGTCAAAAGTATACAGAAAGAAGGAATTAACTTCCTTACGCTTGCGCCCGTTCACTTTAACCCGTCCGATAATAAGTCTTATGACTTACAAATTACCTATATAGTTTTAGTGCACAGCGCCCCGTAAGCGTTTAAGGGGAATTATAAACCGAATCGAAACGTCAATTTATTATTCGTTTGAACGGTACCTGCTCGCGTTCGTTAAACTTAAAAATATAAGTATACGAAACTACTAAGTACGGTTGTATCCGATAAACTGCATAAAATATTATGTTCGTCGTGGTAACTATTGAACGCGACGGGTAGGTATAAGGAAATTCAACAACTAGACTTTAGTTTTAGGGTATGCTACTAACGGTCTTAGCTATACAAACTATAATAATATGCGAGAAATTTATTTTAAAGATCGATTTGGTTTGTTAGGGTACAGTGATTTTAAATCTTGAAAAATGTTTTTTCTGTACCTATTTTATATCAGCTGATGTATTAAAAAAACATATTATTATGCTATGTTGCTAGGAAAGATAAATAGATACAATTTGAAAAAAAATGTTCAAGTACTTTTCATATACTCGTAGTCTAAATGATCGGAATGCTACATTCCAGCATTTTTTTTTTTTAATTTTTATTTAAAATTATTATTTTAATTGTTCTCTATGACAAGTTACATTCAGAATACACGCAAAACTACAGTAATAACGAAATTTGGCATCTATAGAACTTACTGAAGACAACGTCATTGTGGCCAAATTGTAGCTGTAGGATACGTGTTTAAAACTGGTTGAAACGGTGCGTCGGTTAATCTGTCACTAAATACACAATTCGATAAAGTCAAATGTCGATATAACGACGAACGGACGGTGCACACTGCACGTATACCTGGTTCATTATTTGCACGAAATGTCGTCAATACACGTAATAACTATGGACAATTTTAATTTTTTTTCTTTTTGGATTTGGCTAGGCATTAATTCAAATACATATTTTAATATACGAAAAATAAGCTCAATGCACCAAACTTCTCAACAAATTCGATACTGTCGGAACCACCCGTGATGTCGATATGATCGGTATACAACGATGGACACTTTCGAATAGTTTATACAATCGATGGTTTTCGATGATTTAGACGAATTATCGATAAAACAGTTCGAATGCGATCTATCAAATAGTACGATGGTAAATATCGGGCTGTGTCCGTCACTAATGATTGGAGCGAGATTACAATTGTGAACAGCCAGAAATAAAAAAAAACCTCATATCAAAATGTGCACGTAGTAAAACCCATACGGTTTTTCAGTCTTCGTTCGGAAACTAACCGAAAACATATTATAATTTATTATACAATATACGATTTTAAAATTTAACCGTTGGTATTTTCATAACAGTTACCACATAAAACTAAATTGATGATGCGGATAGGGAAAAACTGGAGTAAATTAGTGTATTAAAAAATATCTACTTAAAAAAATATACACGTATTAACGTATTATAAGTATTCGTGACGTATATAATTATAATATTATAATTAAGTCGATACAAATAACAGGTATACACGTTCAAATCGTATATTAGATTGTATAACACAAAAAATATATTTCGGAGAGAATGAGAGAGAGAGAGAGAGAGAGAGAGAGAGAGATAGGCTAAAATATAATTAATGTGTTTATTATTATATTATGTATCGACGAAGTTCTATGGTTTTAAGTGGCGTAATTTTGAACATTTTATCGCCGACAAGGTATAAAAAAAAAAAAAAAAAAAACCCCTATTTATACGTACAGTACGATTTTACCGAAATAATATCTCTATTAAAATAGGTGTACGTGTGTATGCAAATATATGTTTGTAATGGAGCACAATATAATATAATAATATACGCTTTTATAATGATGACTAGATAATAACACCGTCTAATTTATTTATACAAATATTTTTTTTAATAACGACGGTGTTCCATACGCAATTCTCGCGATATACGGACCGCCGATTGTTAATAATACATTAAAATACTGTCGTAATGCGCTAATATCATAAAATATTTTAATTACGGCCGGGGGTGGGGGGGAACTGAAATAACATTTTGATAGTTCAGTTAAACGAAAAACAGATCGCTCGAGAAAAAACACCTATAATTATATCGGACCGATGCAACTCACGGCGATTTATCCGCGGAAATTCGCTATCCGACATTTTTTCATAATCATACGAAACGTAATAAATAATAATAGTCGTTACAACTCGCGTATTTTACATACTGGAGCGAGCGACCCATGTCCGTACATTGTGTACAGTTGTACAACATAGAGAAAAAAAAACTACTAAACATTTGCAATCGGTGGTTTACTAACGAGTAGGTACGACCTTATCTAGAATCACGTGTTAAATTTTCGCGGATTCCGGCCGGATCGACAAAAATTATACCCTCATAAAACCAAATGATAAATTCGAAAATTCCAAATACATTCTTATAAACAGTTCGGAAATCGGCAGAACGTTTTGAGAATGTTAGCACTTTTAAATTATGAACATTCTCAGTTCAGTGTCCCCGTTTTTCCCCAACTATTAAAAAAAACTACACGGGAAATCAAGTAACTATCTTCTCAGTGCACAAACTGGACGGCGATTTCTTTTGGAAAAAAATGCAAGGTTTCTGACTGAAAAAGTGATTTGAAACTGCATAGACGGAAAAAAAATACACTGTAAAGTAATACCTGCAATACATTCCGCGCCGCGCTCAGTGAAAAACCATCTCATCTAAAACGGTGAAAACGAAATTTCAATTCCGACCTCTCTAATATCCTCGTAATCTCAATAATCTCGTTTTCTCTTTACATTCCCGTATCTTTATAGAATTTACCGTCCGTGTACCTATTCGAATTTTGATCAAACTTCGAAGTGCCTGTATATACATAGACAATGATATATTGTAGGCACTCGATTGAATAATATACCTGACGATTGTTAATTAATTACGGGCGGATACTTTCGCACTATTGGACTGGAAATAATGCCAAACGTATTAATTAAATAAACTATTTACACTCATAAAAAATAACAATAATATTGTTATTTTTAACGCGGCCATATTATCCGGTCGTAACGGTAACGGACACGGTGCGGTATCAGCTCTTATCTCGTGTATAACAATAAGGCGGGGGATATAGTAATATTATTATTATTATATTATACGTTGTCGTTCGGTACTATAATACTATACGGATAGAAAATCTATGGCGGTCACCGCGGTAATATGGTAACCCGGTTATTGCAGTTCGTTACCAGCAGCAAAAATATTCTGGACCGCAATCAGCAGTACCTATATTACGTGTGCCTATAGGTATCATACCCGGGTACATAACATTTTCTTTTTTTTTTTATGCGTAGATACTAAAAAAAAAAACACATTCTTCTTGGTCACGAAACGCGCGCAACTGGTCGCTGTGCAGTCGATAACGATTTAATAATAATAATGTGCAACTGTACTTTATACGTATTATTGTAGTATCGTATGCTAATCGATAATTAAATTAGGTCGCGTGTACAGCGCGCGTCGGACGGCGTCAAACGTTGGCTTTTCAATTACTGTACGGAAAGTTTATTACCAGGTGCATATTATATACACGTATTAATCGAAAACGAAATATTACACCCGAACTGCACCATAACGGTATTGTGTCTCAAATATTTACTCGCGGCACACAACGATATCGTGAAACGCGAATAATAACCGTCGAATTCGGCGTTATACATAAACGGTTTAAAGCGTATTCGCGAGACCGAAATCGCGAATTAAAATATCTAAACGCCACTGCTATTACGCTATGCGTGGCTGATGTACCCGTACAACGTGTGATTTCCTCTTGTAGTTTTCCGGTTTGGTTTTTTTTTTCGCGATTTATTGTACATTTGAAATATTGCGTAACGTACTCTATACTCGCGTATTATGTTGTACATTATTATTTTCGAGCACATCGGGTTTACTGCGTCGAAACATATTATGTCGACAAGAAAAAAAACAAAAAAACAACGAATTGTCTAAACGTCTTCTTGGAACCAATCTAAGACATCGTACCTTAAAGATCGCACTAGCGTTGACTATTGTATTATGCGACTGGTCGTGTCGTATGGGTGCTGCGAAACACGGTCGGTAACAAAAGCAGCCTCGTCTTTGAAAGGAAAGTACTTCAGCGTAATTACGGTCTGGCTGTAGAAAATTGTGAATATACAATCGAACTAGAACAAACGAGGCAGTATGTAATAACTGCGGCGCAGTTATACCAAAAGCCGATTATTAAAGCCGAGTATATGAAAGGTCGGAATGAGCAGCTTGTGCGTGAAAATATAATGGGAGATGGTATATGCGAATCCGACAGTGGCGGGGAAAAATCTAGGGGAGAAGCCCAAGAGACCGTCCCGGTTAAAGATAGACGGGTACGCGGAATACTGAGATTGGGAAATATCCGCGTGGGACGATAATATACGGCGAAATACTGCGGGAATAGCGGATACTGCAAAAGATCTAAAATGGGCTATAATAAAAGCTACAGAAAAAGATTATTCGAGTAAAATTACGCAAAATGTGGCTCTTCGCGATAGAAAGTAACTATAAGGGCGGACTGGGCCGATGGACAGATGTTAAATGGGCCGCTTATCTTATGTTGAGGCCGTGGGCCGATTTCACATTATTTACTATATGGACTACGGTCATATTGTTTCTAATAACATCGAATAATAAATAATGATAATTATATTTTGGAAATCGTTTCTAGATTGAGCGTAGATAAACTATAAGATGTTCTTGATGATAAGAGTAGAGAAAGAACTTTTACATGATGTACAAAAGATACTTTGTTTATAAAATCATATTAAATTTGTATGATTTTCGACTTTTTGGTATCGATCGCATAAAAAATCGTTAGTTATCGGTTTTTTTAGATGTATTATATTAATTTTTGTAAGTATATATAACTTTCAAAAATTGTTTGAACTTTTGCTCTGCCGCTTATTTCGCCAACTGGTTGTGGTCGTAATCGGTACAGACGCCACTGAACGTAGATCGATAAGAAATAAAATGCGATGTAGAATTCAACCCCGCTACGGAATTTCTCGCCGGCGTCACCAGGTGTCGACACGTTTGCTTTCTGCCGCGAATAACTGGGTATATGCGTTTTCGGAAAACGTATCGTGTTTTCTTGAAAGCGCAAAACTTCTCTGTACATTCGGGTGGCAATTGTGCGCACGTATAATATAATATTATTGTCGTCTGTATAATTTAAAGGACCGCGAGTTTGGCAAACTTTGTTCCGGGGATCGGCATCTCTTATAAACGCCAAACGACCTTTGCGTGTGAAATCCCCGCGCAGTCCACGCAGTCATTATTGCGGCGGATAACGATAAAGCTATTACGTACACATATACATATACATTTACACGTGGAGTATCAAACGTTTCGGGGAGTTACGACTCGAACAATGCGCGAGTCCGTTTCGTTTATACGCCACCGTAACGTTATCCAAATATCCAATACCCGCGAGAACCTATTACGACGGCGGCGGATCATGTACCATTGTTCCGGTTGTATAACATTATCATCCTAGTTACGGTATTATGATAAATTCGAGGTTTGCGTTACTTGGCGGGAAGGACGGGTCTCGTAATAATTGTAATATATATATATGTGTGTGTAGAAGTTCTCGTCCCTCCGCAATAAACGGTTTAGGACCCGGAGGGCTGTTTTACGCCGTCGCCGTATAAATAGTTCTTATATACGTTTTCTGTTTGTTGTTTGCGCAGTTTAATTTTCTCTTTTCTTGCCCGTGTATTATGGCATGCGATATCTCCTCTTGTCCCCGCTCGCATAGCATCACGTCCGTAGACCGTTAAAATATACGCGGCTACGCGCATTCAAATATTGAGGACGATGATAAACACGTCACAGGTTTTGTCAGGCATTTAAAAACGTTGAAAGCGTATAAAATAAAAAAAAAACCTTACGATCGGGTTTTCCTTGGTTTTTCTGCGTTATCGGGATCAATTTTGAAAAGAAAAATAAACGAAATAAAACAAAAACCTCCTCAATGTAATAAACTGTTGATCCAAAACAGAAAGTCGGTGTCAAGGTTTTGATTCGGAGCTAGTCTCCTTTGTCGAACACTCAGTAGTCGAACACTCGACCAAAAACTCGTGTTCGCTGTTATTTCGCGTAAAAATATTATAATAAATCGTCAAGCGTATAGAACAGTAGTTAACGTTGGGTATACAATCAACAAGAGAAACAAATATAATTTCAATCTCCTCGGAACGAAATACATATTACATATTATTATGGTATACATTTTAGGGCCAAATCTCCAGATACCCGTAAAACCCGCGATTTATATTGCGTTTGACAAATCCCCGCACGGTTTTTGGACTCGTATATGCGTGTAGTAAAAACTGATTTCATTTCATTTTGTTTTTTTTTCTCGGAGTGTGCGATTGCGCTCAAACATACGATAATTTTTTTTTAGAAAAAGTCCTCGTAAAATATAAAAGCTATATAAAGGGTAATTTAACACCGACAATCGTTATCGTGCTGTTCAATCTCCCAAAGTCTATTGAAATCTTATCCACTTGCACGCACGTACAAAAGTTCAAAAGACTGTACTTTTATAACGTCGACGATTGTAAATTATTGTAAATTGATAGTGTTGTGGATTTTATTTGTTCAAACGCTGCGAATATAGAGAAAAAAAAACTATTAACTATTAATAAATATTATATACCGTACATTCGATTTTATTTTATTTCAATGTGATTGCAATTTGTAATCTGAAACTACGAGTAAAAAAAAATATCGATATTACTGTAAACAAAAAAGAAAATTGAGTATAATCTTCTACGTGGAAATGTTTTATAATATTGAATTTCACGATATACGGTACAACTTTCAGAAATCTGAGACAATAAAACGAGTTCAATAATAACAATATGATATTAATGTTTACGAATATCGCATTTTGGAAAATTATTTCTAAAAACAGGCTTATCAAGTCAATATTTTTCATAATATTAAAATGCAACAGTTTGTTTTATGTTATATTTATATAATAATATGTGTTATTCATATTATTATTATTAATTATGGGACGGAGTCAATTCTTATTATTATATACATTTTTTTATACGTTTTTGATATTTATTTAAAACATTATTTTTGATTTATATTTTATATAATTTAATAAACCGATAAAATGGTGTGTTAATAAATAACTGAATACATTCATTGAAAAAATATTAATTTTCATTTAAAAAGTCTTACTTCCCAACGTGAGTAGGCTATTGTAGGTAGGAAGTTGAAAATTTAGAATATAAAATAGTAAACAATTTAGTTTGTATACAGAAAAAATTATTCTGAGCGGCCTTAGTAAACTGTAAGTAAGGTTTTGAGTTAATAACTTATACAGCAGTAGTCGTGGGTTTTATCCTTGTAACCAAGGTAACCAGTATTGTGTTTTATCTAAATATATTATTATTTATAAATATTAATACATAATAATATTTTATCTTATTTAGATGATATATTTAATGAAAAATAAGTTATTTGAGATAATAATTTATACATGTAGATACATTTTTTTTAAATCCTAATTTACACATTCATTAAAAATAGTAGATACAATATTCAATGTGAATTAATCAAATTTATTATTGAGTCATAACATATAATTTTCTAAATCTACAGATGTGTACCAAATCTGGTACACAATTGCTTTTAACATTTAATTTTATGGTAGATAATAGACAAAATTATCTATAGATAAAATATGGCTGATTATTTATCTTTATCTAGGTATGTTAACATTTATTTTTATATAACATTGAAGACGACCTAAGAAAAATTAAACTGATGTAGAATCTTCATATTTTTATCAACTTTTCAATATTAAATTCTCTACAAAATCGTTGAGAATCTAGAAAAACTATACGAATAGACTACCACTGGGCGAAAAATTGGCATCTTTTAAAATACGGTATTCATGGAGCATTTTTACTAGCGAAAAGTGTACTCCAAGGACAAAACAGAAACACAACGAATAGTAAAACTAATATACGAGATAGATACGCATAACTTCTTCGCTGCAGTTAGAATCTAAAACAATATACTTATTTTTCTTAAACTTTCACAACCCGCTTAGGGCCTCTGCTACTCAACTATTTACCACCATCTTTCTTTATTTGTACTCTCTTCCAGCTTCGTTCCTTGCGCATACCGCATATTTTGAAGAGTCCGCCACTTTCGAAACATCCATTCATCTTTGCCTGGGACATCTTTTAGATTTTTGATCGTTGATTTTACCTAAAAATACTTGTGTGTCAATACCATTAACTACATATACACACCTCGCCCGTTCGATTCGTTTATTTCTGATAAAAGCTTTAATGCTGTGTTCTGAAATGACTGATACGACTTCCAATTGGTTTTTAAAGTAAAGCGTTTCGCCGTATTTAGGTCAATAGTTGAACATGGGAAATGCCGTACAAGAACAAACGAGGAAGTTTTCAAGAATTTAAGAAATTATCAGTTATCTAAAAATAATTTTAACACTTTATGGACACTTCGGATCGCAAGACTGATTTTTTTCTTCTCCTTCGGCCCAATTCACTAGCTAATTGCAATTACGCCGACGATAGGCGTGTTTAAATAATATTTGCAGTTATACACGGAACTACATTACACAATATTATATTATGTTATACTCGGGGGTAATTTTACGGGTTTCGTAGATTATTTTTAGTAGGCACAAATAGCTGAATGCGGCAACGTGCATTATTACGCCGAGTATAGAATTCGGAATCCGTATACCTACCCGCGTCCGTATTGAATAGCCGCCGCGCGCATAGTATTCCGAAACCTATTGTTTTTCGAATAAAACAGAGCGCAGCGAGCTTTTACTCCGTTTCGGAAGTGCATGTGCGGCCTCCGACTATATTATTATTATTATTATTATTATTATTATTATTATTCTATAGTCTATAATAATAAATAGACCGTACTATGCACGCACGTTAATCTGTATAATGAGCTTTATACGATGGCTTTTGCCAAAGGCGAGTGTGTATTTTCTATAATATTATTTATAATATATACGTATTTTATACCTATAGGTGAGCCGCTGCATCGTTTACCCAAACATAATGGGCAATTTCACTCGGCATAATATTATTATGTACGACCACGTACAATCGTTATCTGCGACGACTCCCTTCCCCTCCCTTGAAAATGAAGGCGTACAGGTGGTTGCACCCTTTTATTATTTTATTGATAACACAAATTAAACCTTCCCTTCATGTAAGAGGAGGAGGAGGTAACAATATTACCAATATTTATGGGGTTGCGTATATAGACGATTCCGATGGAATTATTGAAAATATTTGTATAGATATGAACATTTAGATACAGGGCACATACAATATGTACCCGGAAAAAGGCCGCAGAAATAATGACACTACACTCTGTCCCACGAGAGAGCATGCCGGATCTGCGCATCGTTCGTCGACCGACCGGGCCATTGTATCCCGTGCATGCATTCAAATTTCGCCGCCGACGACGGTGGGTATGCGCAAAACCGACAAGTTTTCGTTATCGCGCGGTGTGCTCTCTAGCGGGACAGAATATAGTAGTATTTGAGCGAAAAATTCTATATATTAAATTTAAGTTTAACTATAAATTTTACCATTGACGCTGAAATTAAATAATGGAGAATACGATACAATTAAAAGCTGAGGAACTAGTTCACCGTCACGGATAAATAAATTACGAAAAGAAGATGATAATGTGAGCCGGACTTGTATTGTGAAAATATTGATTAAAAAAACACGTGCATTGATAAAACTGGTGATTTAGGAATACTCGATTGGGAAGAAACCATTACAAAAACTATAGGTACGTTATAATATATGTCAGAGTAATGGAATGAGAAACGCATTGGAGAGAATTCAATAGAAATAGACGGCGACAAATTTGTTTTAGAAGATTGGTTGGTCTAAAGAACCCACTAAGCAGCAGAAGATAATAAATAATCACCTCGAAAAAATTTAATTTTATATTTGGATAAATTTAAAAATTGTCCGAGATTTCTTAAGCATTTTTGTATATAATATAATTGCATTTCATTAAAAAATAGTTCTACAAAAGATTTTAAAATATTCACTCATTGTGAAAACTAAATACGATTCAAAGACTGATTTTCAATTTACTCGAACAATTTCGATGGACATTCAAGATTAAAAAGTAATCTTAATTAAAATTCCGCAACTTTTTCGTGAATTAATATTTAGCTGAATGGATAATTATATGATGTAATTTCCTAAAAAAATGATTGGTTCTTTAATTTGTATCGTAGTCAGTTAAACAATAAATTATACCCATTTCGAAATCAAATAATTTTTAGAAACGTTATAATAAATGTCCGAAAACGCTGACATTCTCTTAGAAATGATTCAGAAAGTTTAAATTTGATTCGAACGTGAAATGCATAACCAATAGTATATTATTGTGTTAACTCGCACCGTCGAATTCACTTATCCATCGTAAGTGCCGTGATTCGCGTAAAACAATATAAAGGGGTTTGTAAAAGAAAAAAAATGTCGACTAAATTAATATACGATTTCGATAGGCAGTTACCGACGTGCCGAGGGGAACGTATTCCAACGGTAGCACAGGAATCGTGCAGTTTGCCCTTCAACGGTCACAAATCGCATAATCTAAGAACTGCAATAAATAAATAGTGTCATTAATATGATTATACCACCTTTCGGAAGTTATGCGGTAATGATTGATTGGTGATTTTCACTTTTTCGAAATGCAGAAGAATTTCGCGCAGTCGAGGCTGTATTATTTTTTCTACACCGAATCGTATGTTTTACACGCAGAAACTTGTATATAGCATAAGTAAAAAAAAAAAATATCTATAATGGAATGCGTAAAATTGGCACCACCGAGTGTGAGACAGACGGACAGAGTTAACGACGCGTAATATTATTTATACACATATATACCATTACCCAATATCAATAATTTTAGATTCTCTGTGCGGGGAAGCTATTTTTTTTTTTTATGTACACGTATACACGGTTAATTGGCGATTTTCTCTAGGTTTCACATTTTTCTGACGTCATGTCATTATTGAATTTCTGTTATTACTGTTTTTAATTATTCTATCGTATTGAACCTTATATATGTATTATAAAACGCGTTTTTCTCAATCGAAAAATAATAACGTAATATTAACGCGGTAAACGGACGCTAATTAACCGTATTTGGGCTTAAACGCGAAAGTAGTATTGATGAACATTTTTTTTTTTTTTTTTTTTATCGCCGTGCCACCGATGTTATATTAAATTATTATAGCAACCGGTTTTCGAACAACACTCCAACTCGCGGTGCGTTATTAATAATGATTAGGCACGCATCGTCGGGGATGGACAAGATACTTCAAAATTAGTATCCAGATAACATACACGATCATATAATTTTGTAACAAGAGTTGTTGCGACACAATAGATACTTGATGTTTACATTTTATGCGTTATTAAATATTATGCGTAGTTACACGATTAAGATACAGACAAAATATCAATTACGTTTTACACGCATACAAGATACGCGGTGATTATTTATTTGAAATATTTCTGGAAATTCTCAATAATTCTCCCCTCCGTTTTCGTAATACAATCACTCAAAACTTTTGAAAAACCAAGAAAAGGGGGGGGGGGAATGACCCAGCTTACACCTTATTCAGGTGATACGTGATACGAGGTACAATTATTGTATTTAGAATGCTATTGCATCGAAGATACTGCCCATACCCTGCGTTGCCGTCGATATCATTATGAGTCGCGATCAATTATAAGATGGCGAACGGTGTAATATTTTTCGAAATAAAATCAGCGTCTGCCCTCAAGACAACGCTGCATGCATATGCATTAATTGTCGTCTTTGTTTTACAAACGCGCATCGTAGTAAGTTTTCATTCAGCAGAACCAATGTTGTGCTTTCAGTTTTAACATTAGCCAGTGAATTGACCTACTGTCAAGTTAAAAGTTAAGAACATTATTTGTGTGTTTATACGTTGGTCTTTTTCGATATTTTAATTTTGAAGCGACTAAGCCTGATATAGTAGCATTTTTTTTTTTTTTAATCGCGATATTTCACAAACTCTCGATTAAAAATTAAATAAACGAAAAGACCGACACGAATAATTTAAGTTTGATAACAGTTTGGTTCACTCTAATATTAAAAACAACAGCCCAAAATTGATTCTGCCGAACACGGGTTCGCCATGTCGTGCGTTCGTAAGACGGAGGTAGCAAACGCACGTGTAGCGTCCTCTTAAATATATTGATAATAATAAGTCGCGCTCTATCTTGACTCTTGCGGGCACACGTCAATAATAAATCGGCCTATCGATTTAACGATCGACGTGGAAAAAAAAAAAACTTACACGCAATGAATAATATTTGTTTCGTGCGATTGGATATGTATATTGTATATATATATTTTTTTTTTTTGCTTGGACAACCGGTTAGCAAATTGTTATGGACGTGATTGCGCGCTCGTGCTTGTGTTAAAAAACGACCGTTTAACGCGTTTATGTGTTGCCATATCTTATACGCAGATGACGTACGATAATATTCGATAGCATAGCGTTTGAGAAATTTGTTTCGTACGACATTTCTTCTAAGTTAAAAATAAAAAAAAAAACCATTTAAAATACAGAAAAAAATAAAAACTAGAAGCGATTAAATGCTTTTAGAAGTTGTACCTGTACATTATTATTATCATCTAAACTCTATACTGGTATCATTATATGATTTAAAAAAAAAAAAAAACCAAAAATATATACACTTGGTATGAAACAAGCTTTATAGCTGACGAATCGTTCGTGTCGGGTCGTGTAAGAAAATGCAATACTGTACTTCACTCGAACTATCGGCTCGTAGCACAAACCTCAATCAGATAAAAAAAATTTAAAAAAATAGATCTTATCAATAAGTTGATATTGTAACGAATAATTTACGTAAAATTTCGATTCAATTATAAGTTTTAATATTTTGTATGTTTTACTATTTTAAGATCTGAAAATTATTTATACACAACTGTGATGTAAACTAGGATGTTGACTGGTAATGAAAGTACTGAGAATACGTACTACAGGTCTCGTTACCTAGTTAATATGTGCATACTATTATGTGGTTAAATGTGGCATAGGAAATGAGATTCTAAGTGCATAGATGGTCAAATATGGCAACTCGGTAAACTTGTAAAGTGCATATGTGTCCAGAAATGGCATAAATAAATATGTTGAAATTACAACCAAACTTAGGACTTTTATTATATCTAAATATTTTCCGTATACTCAGCAGTTTAAAAAACTATACAATTAATTTTTTTGGGGAGGGATAAAAAACAAAAAAATCTTGCAGCAAGGAGCTAAACGAGTGCAGTGTTTTTGCCGTCGGAAAACAATTGTTAATTTGAACATATTATAGTGTTTGCATCTATGAAATCAACAACTGTCTATGATCTTTAATCGTCTAAATGCACAATACTCGCAATATATTATATTTTATATTATCATATGTATTATTATTATAATAACGTAAGAAAGGAAGTGCATACTTCATTATTTTATGAATTGCGTTGTAACTGTAATATAATATTGTAACTTTAAAATATTCTTTGTGAGCACATACACGCGAAATAGTTTAAAGCAAAAATCCATACTATACATACTCGTGTATTATTAGGTATGTAAATTGTTAAGTATATACATTATTATTTTAAACGAGTATGTGCGTATACGATCCTTAGAAGAGAAATTGTTTATTATTATAATTTTTTTTAATATCAAAAGACCTCCTAAAACACAAAAATAAAAATCATATGGTGAAATCGATTTATGAAAATGATAGTGTACCCCAATGTGTATACAAAAGCTGACCTAAAAACATCGCCTTGAATTAATATTGTATATACAGTATACACGTAGGTAAGTACACAATATTCAATTTTTTAAATTCATGAAACTCGGCAAACTTATGAATATTTGAAAAGTATATATAATATAATGTGTACTTTTAGAATATTATACATAATTTAAGATGTATCAATTGTAAATTAATAATTATACGTTTGTATACCTCGAATATTTTAGATTCCGAACGTAAAAAAGGAGCTATTGGTTTTACTAAGATGTTTATTTCTTTCTTTTTTTTTTCTTCTTCTTTTAGTCTATGGACACGTTTTTTCCTAGTAAACTTGTTCTGTTTTTTACGCGTAGCAACTTTTCTAAAAGCTCAAATTGTCTAAATTGTGCTTTGAAAATGTCATTTTTTTTCATTTTCAACGCCCTTTTTTAAATAAAAGCACTTAAGTGAGAAAAAACGTTGGAAAACGTAAAATTTTACAATTTCATTATTTTAAAAAACACGGACGACGTTTTCTACCAGAAAAAAATTATTTAATCGAAAAATCACAAAACACCTTTCTAATTTAATTTCTTACAGTATTATCGCCAAAACTTTTGAGTCACTTTCGAGCTTTAAAATTTTTTTAATTTTTGAGAGTTTTTTTTACTGTAATTCGGTTATAAATACACGTAGAGACTTGAAACTTGGTAATAATACTTATATTGAATTTATCTAGACGTGGTAAAATTTCCAAAATCATCGGACAACTTTTTTTTTTTAATAAGCGTTTTTAAATCAAATTTAAACGAAAATCGCAAAAAAAATTAAGTCACTTCAAATTATGATAATTATCAAACTGCGCACGGAATCGTCTTTCGCCTAGCAATGATTTATCGTTGCTTACAGACATAATTGAAAAAACCGTATGTATACTACCTTCCCAACTTTTCATCTATAACAGTGGCCGCTTCCATCCTCAGCATCAGCTCTTTTTTTTAGGTGTATAGTTGCGTATAATCGTGAAAGTTAAATTTTCATTAAAAGATGGGCACATTTGTGCACAATCAATCAAATGGCGGAGAAATCAGTGAAACCATTTATAAATTATGTATACAAGTGAGAAAATAAATAATTTTTATAACGTCATTTAAAAATAATAATATTATTAGTTTATTCGGTATCTCCTCTACTCATGCAGATCTCGAATCCTTCAGCTCTCGATAAAATTCGGTTTTACCGACTGACAAAACAGCCATACGTGTGATAAATTAACAATATTTTGTACATTATATTCCTTGTAATGTTGCACCTATGCGTATTCAACAAATAGCTCCCATAACAGAATAATTATAATATCATTATGTTTAACATGCAAATAAAATCAACAACTCGACAGACTACAATATTATTTTCAAAAACGGTACGGGAGTTTTCTATTAGACAATACTAAACGATTTATGTGACAAGTAGGTTAGGTACACAATATAATATATGTCGTGAACAACAATCGGTGGGCAGTCGTTTAGTGCAGCGTTTTTGCGTATTATTCAATTCGACAACATATAAATTATTTTAATTTATGAATATTTCTGAATAATAAAGTAATATGTTACTATGTCATTTTAGTAACGATACCGCATAAACAGAAAAACTACAGATTCGAGTTCTCCGCCTCTTCCTTATCTATTTTGTATTATAGAGACATTCTCCGTAGATCAATAAATAACCGGAAAAACTGTATACCACAATCATAAAATACAATTACTTTACTGTTATAACTAAACTACTTCTAAAAAAAAAAATAATAATAAAATATAATGAATTTCAAGCACATAAAAACGGCAGGGAAGGGGTATGCAATTCAAAACCCCCAAAAGGCACATCTTTACTTACGTTGTGCATACACTGTAAAATTTCATTGAAGGGAGGTCTGCAAGGGATGTTCAAAACTGTAATCAAAAATACCGTTCTCCCGCAACAACACTATGATGAAATCCATATTGAAATTAAACCCTACTTTTATCACTTCAACCCGCCTATAAAACGACTCTGATCATCGAGTATAAGCTCATTCGGTCCAGAGGCGTATCCGTTAAAAGTAAACGAAATTGATATTGAATTACGGGTGGATATTAATAAGACCTAAATATATTTCAATGAGAAGTATAGGCTTTAATGTATAGATATGAATCGATATCGCAATTGTTTTTGCCAATATGACTATTTACAATAAAATGTTCAACATTTCCATTGCATTTTATTATATTTACTCAGATATATTATATCATACTTACATTTATTTTTTTTTTTTCAAATGATTTATATTAGATATTATTATTGTTTTATATATTTCGAAAAAAAAAAAAACCATACATCGTGTAAAACAGACGACGGAAAAACGTCAACCATTGCAATCTCGTTGTTATTATTACCATGTCACTTTTAAAATGAGAGCTTTCAAACAAAATCGATAAAACTAGTGATAACGCATCAAAATGAAAACACAAAATATACCCGCGATAAAAGTTTTTTATTTTTTTTTTAAATTTTTTCATTTTTCTAACCCAGTTAGTTTGTATGATGATGGGTGCTCTTATACGTCATTATTATAATGTTACTATAAACTATTCACGTTTCATAAAAAGAAAAAAAATTACCTACGAAAAATGTTTTTATTTTTTCTCAGTGTACCTATTATATAATTAAAACCTTCCAATTATGTGAATTACATTTTGAAATATTAAAAAAAAAAACCCGTTCTCCGATTTTTCTTCGAGGCATAATTTGTAAATAAATTTAACGCGGATACGTTTACGAATATTTGTATCCGTGTAGCATATATTTTATTATAATTTGAAGTATCAGTTACATATACCATTTAAAAAAAAATTCGAAAAGTATAATATGATATAGGTATTTGACAGCTCATTTGCAGCACACGTTTTATTGGTCGGGTTACAATAATTACATAGGTGTCAACCACGATATAAATAAATCGTACAGTTTAGTGAAAAAAAAAAAACGATCCTAAATCGATACATTATAACTAGAGTTCGGAAGTTATAGGAGTTGCATATTTTTCTGTATGCGCTAGATTCTTAGCAGACCAAGCTGGAAATTTTTTCTATGCAACGGAGAGTTTAAAAATCAAACATTTAAAATGCATATTTTGCATATTTCGTTAAAATTAGAGAAAAATTGCATATTTCATCGATTTTCATTGATTTTCGTATATTTTTACGCATATTATGCATGTTTAATATTCACTAAAAAAAATTGTTTTTTTCATTAGTTCTTTTTTGTATTTTAAATAATATTGAATATAAAACTCAATAGTAAACGTAGTTATTTATTGTTATTTTTTATCGCCTCAGTTTATTATTAATTTAACAACAACGATGCAATTTCATCTTTTTTTTTTGTGTATATTAATGTACAAAATGTGTTTAAATTTTTTTGAATAATTGTTTGCATATTTATTAAATTTTTTGCACATTTTCGATTTTTTCATGCATATTTTATAAGTTTTCCGTGTATATTTGCATCTATATTTTGCCTTTTTAGCTTCTATAACTTCCGAGCCCTAATTATAACAAATCGCTGAATTTTTCCTCAGCATACTATTACGATTTTTGTGGACATCTTCCTGGGTTGAGACCAATTCGAAATGAAACCTTTTTTTTTTTTTTTTTATCACATATATTTACCGCCGTTACTCAATTAAACTTATTCAACAAATTAGTGTACGAGTACGAAACTTTCGCGGAATATTGTAATATTATTATCCCGAAAATAGTTTTCAGAGACAAAAAACAAGAAAAACCGCTGCAATAAGTACCTATACAATACATATTGTAAAAGTAAATGCAATTTCCTTGTTCCGTTCGAAATCCAAAAGCAATAAAACAACAAATTGTTAGTTTTGAAAAAGTTTTCTTTTATAAATAGTTATATACAGAGGTACATTACCAAATTGTTTTATCGTGGTCTTAGTAGTTGCATAATGTTCCTACATAAATTATATAATATAATCAATATAGCAATATATTATATTTATTTTAAATAAATAAAAACAAAAGGTTGATTGAGAAACGATATTCAGTCGCAATCGGTTGAAAAAAAAAAAAAATTAAATAAACGGTGATAATATGATATTGATAATATTGACAATTTTTGTTTTATTAAAATATCCTTATAATGCTTAATGCTGCATCCTTAAAATTCCCTTTGTTACTGTGTTACAGAGTGTTGAAATTTTCTAAAAAATCATAATTATTATGAGTACAGGCGAATAGAGATACGTCCGCCATACATATCCAATTTTATCGATATCCATGAAAAAAAAAAAATGAATTACATTTTCAACGGTTCGGTGAAAAGTTTTTCTAAAGAAAGGCCAGCGCTTACAATGTTTCGTAGCTGCAGTTCAAAATAATAATGTTCGCGTCATTGCGGTTAACCGCGGTGAAAAGCGATTTCGTCGATATTTTTATACTGTTATATCAATTGAAAATTGAAAATAAATAACAAGCTATTTTCCGGCGTTTTGTTTTGATTTTATGATTACAGAACCGAATGAAACAACAACTACTGCAGGATGGATAATTCTGGATAGTCAATTTTTCAGATACTGAGTGCAGCGAGAATTATATAATATTTGTTTTACAACGATGGTGCTTTTTTTTCCCAGTCGGCAGTTAAAAACTTTTCGATCAAAAAATCTTACTCCGAATTTCAAACGAAGCATCTTTTCTAAAAGCAAATTGTAACTTATTGACGCAGATGAGTAGGTTATCTTTTTTCGCTTATTTCCCTTGCAGTTTACTTAATAATTACGAAAAAACGAAATTCACGAAAATACCGATTTCATTACTTTCGATTTTGTTCGCTTGTTGTAATTCGGTTAAAAATAATCGTAGAGACTTGTAATGTTTACTTATATTCAGTGAACAGCTTTCTTACCTACTCTAGACGTGGTGAAATTAAAAAACATTCCGACGAGTTTTGAGCTAATTATATTCATTAGACATTTTTGACTTTTTTTTTAGTTTTTATTTGGATAAAATGAATATGGCCCTGCTTAAATGTTTAAACACGGGGTTCATTATAAGCTGTACGTATGGTGGTTGATTTTCTCATAGGCTTTTTTAAACTTAAATTTTAAAGAAAATCACACAAACTACGTCATTTCAAACAATATTTAACCGAGCTTTACTTAGAATCTTAATCCGTCAGCGATGATTCATCATAATTTCCCCCTCCCCTGGTTTTATTGCGAAATGAGTTATGAAAATTGTTATTTTACTCTATTATATGCATAAACGAGGCATTTTTTTACGTTTCATAATAATTTAATGGTATACAGTGCACATATAGGATCACAAGATATATATATATATGGATTTTTTGTTTCTTTAGTTTTGGCGTTCGATTTATACGCCACCCAACCCACGCGTGATTCGCCCTTCAATTTCTTTTACTACATTAAATTATAATATTATACTTCGGAGTTCGGAGCGTCCCTCAAAAAAAAAAAAAAAAGAAAGAGTATTTTGGCAGCACAGCACTTAACGAACCGAAAACACACTTCATACGTTTTTTTTTATTTTTATGTACGGTGCAAATTTCACATGGCGACAGTATAGTAGAAAACGGAACCATCATCGTCATATTGTTCGGCGACGGTGGATTTGAATAATTTTCGGTTTACGAGACCGGAATTGAGGGTGTGTAATATTGTGTATACTTGTGGTATAATTTACTCGTATATACCCCCGCGCGGTCTAGGTACGTGATTTTGTGTATCAACGTCGGCATCTGTAGTGGATTTTTCCAAACACCCAAAAAACTTTAGTACAAGCCATCCGTTCGTCTCAAATTATGCTATTATATTCAAGAGCAACCACCTACCAAAATTCAAGGGGGCGACCATGTATACCTGCTATTATTTTAATATGACCTCTTTACTGAGCTGTTAAAGATACTCGTAATGTATTTTAGGTACGGAAAAATGAGGAGGATGCTCGTGTATTCGCACAGTTATAATATGAATTTGGACAGATTTTGAGAACATTTTTATTTTTAAGTTTCGGTTTAAATATAGCTACCTAATATTATAGTATTTTTTTGCATTTCGATACCCATGGCTTTTGTTTTGCTTTTCCACTTAACTGAACGTACTCAACGGTACGTTGAATTGTTTTTCATAAAAGTCTAGTGAAATTAACGAGTCAACAAATTAAGTGTATATTTTTTTTTTTTTTGAAATTTTAAAATGCGTATTGGTTCACGGCTATGAACATCACTTAGTTTATTTTTACGATTCCGAACTAAGTATTAAAAATTGTTCACGTCGGTTTATTTTCAATCAAAGTTAAGATAATTGCGTTTAATTTATATGTCTATACGAATTAAATTAAGTTTTTTATTTATTTTTCTACTAGTTACTTTACTAGTTTCTAGTACGTTTAACTAGACGGTTTTTTTTTTTTTACTTATTAAATATTAATTGAGTTAGTTGTTTTTCCGTTTTAACTTAATGTCCAGCGCCTATAATTTATAGATTTTGTGGAGCATAAATATAATGATACCAAATTTGTGCTTGTTACCTATACAATTTTTAATGATTTTATATTATTTAATAACATAACTTAATAAAATATTGAACAATATTGTGATTTATAGTACCTACAATAAAAATTAATTAGATCGTTATAATGATATGTATGTTGTTAATAATATAGTAATATATTTTAACTCCAACGTAACCATATTGCAGTTTAGCTATTTGGAAATAACTCACCAGTATTATATTATTATAATATAATATACCTAACTAAACGCAAAATTCCAGTCTGTTACATATTCTACTCGTATATTGTTAATTTATTAACAATAGTGGTTCGTATTTATTGTATCGTATCGAAATTTATATCCGATAAATAATAACCACAAAATATTACGACAGTATAATACAACATTATTAAAACGATATTATATTATTATCAGAATATTTCTACTAATACATTATAATAATATGCAGGTCAGTTGTGGGTGAAACATTTTTTTTTTGTTTTTGTTCGAGGAACAGCAATTTTCTATACTTACTACTCCCCCCCCCCTACAAATTAGTTATCAAACCAGTTATTAGATACTCCAAACTCACGGTTCCATAACTCGAACAGTTTAAGCCTCTGAGACTGACCACACACGACCCACACCCAGAAACATTTTAGATGAATCACGGGATCTCAAAAAACAGTCCTCGACGAACATGTCCTGATGAATAATGATTATTGTGCGCACATGCGTATTGTTTCGTTTGTGACTGGTGTTGGACACAACCAAGTAATTACTATCAAACTATTTCGATAGTTGTATACGCATTCGAATTATTCGGCTTATTAAAAACCATAATTTTTATTCGGTGACGGAGGAAAAAAAACGATTCGAATGAAATATTTCATAGTTCATCTATCAACTCTTGAAAACCATCGACAACATAAACTTTTCGGAAGTGCACATCACTATTTATGACAGAAAAACGTTTAAGCAAATATTGTTTGGGTACATTTTCTCGAAACGCATTTTATATATTACTAATAAATTCGTATAGATACACAAAGAAAAATAATAATAACGGCTAATGTATTCTATCTAAAATGAAGACAATTTATTTTAAGTTTATATACCTACTTACACTTTTATTAAATAAAGTTATATATTGTTAGGTATATAATGGGTATATATATATATACATTTCTTATTTTGAAAGTTTTTACTTGTCACTTGTCTGCCGTTAACTCGATATACATGTTTATACAAGATAAGTTTTTTCGTGTCATAATAAAAAAAATAAAAAAATGAAAAAAAAAAAGAAAAGGAAAATCAAATTTAAAAAAGGACATTTTTAAAAACTGAGGCAGCCGAATATTTTGCATCCTGTTTTGTATAGATATACGCTATACACGTTATTCAATCAAATAAATTTATTCTTTATTTAATTATGTATAAAAAGTCGATGTGGACAAACTGTAATGTAATTTAAAAAACAAATATTGAATCGAATTGAAATTGATAAATGTACAATGTGCATTGTCGGTCGAAGGATGATAAAAGAAATAAATTTAAATAAATTCGAAACAATCTTGCGCGCAGACAACGTATATATTTTTCAAGAAAGCTTTTTGACATATCTATTTTCAAAATGAAAATTATTTTGAGATTATATGTGCTTTTGGATATACGTAGGCAATTATTATAATACTGAGAATCTAAAGAAAAAATAAAATGTAATCTAGTAAATTAACAGAAATTACGCAATACCATATGAATACGTATACCTATTCTTCAAATAAAAAATAAAAAGTAAAAATTCATAAATAAAAATTTCACTTATGTAAATTTCCAGGTTTTAACCATTTCTGTAAATTGGAGTTTTGTAGAAAAAACCCGATGTTAATACCGATTAACATGCAGAACAATTCAATCGGAAATAAAAATGTTTAATATTCTGTTTTAGTATTTTTATGTAAACATTTTTTAGAAACAATAGGTATAATATGTATTGTTTCCAACTTGTTGTAAAAAAATAATTTCGTGAAAAACTCGGATATATAAAAAGATTCGTTTCAACGCTCCGCAAAATTCTTCTTCTTGTTCTTCTTCTTCCAGCTTTAGAGGCCAAAGAGGTTATATAGTTGCAAAACAAACACTTCCCCACCTCCCTCTGTCCTGATCTACTTCGTAAAAATTTTCTATTTCTAATTGGTTTAGTTCCTTTTTGCCGATGTCGATCCATCTTTGCTCCGATCTTCTCACCGGTCTCTTTTCCCGAGAAAGATCTATAACTATTGATTAAAATTATATTTTTTTCCAAAAGGCTGGTAAATTTTGTACGAATAATAAAACAACTAGATAGTCGACTCTATGCATTTAAATCTAAAATTGAAAACCATGTTTTACCAAGAAGAACGTTTTTATTGATTAAAATATCATGAAATAGCTACTATATTGTTTATGCCTTGAAATTTATCGTCTATAATCTATATAAATAACAATTGTCCCGACCGACTGATTGACCAATCTATCGACGCACAGCCCTAAACCACTGAGTTTAGAAACTTAACACTTTGCACAGAGGTTCCTTGTACAACTGCCCAGAAAGAATTTGTCAATATTCAATACCGTAAGAACGGCTACAGTTTTAGTATTATTGTAATGGAAATTTAATTTTTTATTTTTTATTGATTTAAGGTTACCATGATCACACGAACGAAAAAAAAACCGCTAAATCAATTCGAATGTTATTAAAAAATTGTTCCTATTTAAACAATAAATTAACAAGCAACAGCGGTTAACTGTGGCAGAGACGGGTAATGAATTTTTTTTTTTTTCGTCCAATAGTGACGCGGGGAAAGCCGTACGGGACAGCTATAGTATATAACATATATAATATTATGACGTGATGATAATATGAAAAATATTCGAAATTAATTAGTTTCTAAATTATCACGTATTAAACATATCAAATTTTTTACGGATTTACCAATACAATTTGCGCACTTTTATTATAATATTATTGTATGGTATAGGCATTATTACATGACCGTTTATCAAAATGTGTCCATGTTGTGTGTAACGGTTTTAACCCTCGAATTAAACACTCGAAGAACATTAATTTGTTATAAACGGCAGTTGTCAAAAATACAACTACCTATGTATTTATGTATTATATACGAATAAAATATTACATAATATAGGTACCTACTGCTGGTAATAATTTATTACTACTCGATGACACATTACACTCGTATGATTATTATTATTATTTATAATAGACAACGAACAGATTTTTTTAAATGATAAAGGCGAAATGTGCGTGCGCGAGATAAAATAATAATACCCACTACACTTACAAAAATAATAAACGACACTATTTTTAATGGACGCACAGCAAAATCAATTATAAAATAATCATTTTTTTTTTTTTTTTTTTTTTAATAACTGCAGTGGAATACCAATTATTATTAAGCGTATACAAGGTTTATTTTTTTTTTAAATTATACTCATGTCTTATATCGGTGTGGATAATAGAGCCTATTGAATACCTAATTTTTAATTATAACATTTTTTTTTTTTCTATCCAAAAGTTATTTTTAAACCATTCATATAGTAGATACTCTATGGGTCATAGTGTTTATTCTCTACTGTCGGTTAAACAAAAAAAAAAAAAACAAAAAAAAGCTCTAATGTTAATATCTAAAATATTTCCCACAAAATTTTGAATTATTATTATTTTAGTTCCTGAGTGTCACGAGGAATGCAGGTATTGGTTTTACTATGATGTGTTTTTTTTATTTTGGTATCTTTAAACAATTGTTTTACTGGAAGCTTTGTTCCTATTAAAAAATACTTATGAACTTCCTTGTAACATTTTTGATCAAGTCGGTGCAATGTAATTTTTTGATTTTCCTTATAGTTTTCTTAATGGACTGAAAAAACTGGAAATATGTTGTATAATGGTTGTTGATTTCCGGGTTAAATTGATAATAAGGAGATAATAAATAAGACTAATAATACTCTGCTTAGAATCGGTTTTGTTAGCAATTGTTTATCGTTACGTACAGTTATAGTTAACTAAATTACTCCTAAACCAATGACATCAACACCACAATCATCAGCAATCACAATCAATCATCTGTTTATTTATTCATTTATTTGACCTTGCATCATTTTATAATTATTTTTTATAATATATGTCTATAGATTATAAAATTATATACACACTGGAATTTAAAATATATGTACAATATTATTAAATGTAGAATAGCGATCGTGTGACAACTCCTCTGTGTTAAATAGAGATTGGATATCCTTAAAATACTAATAATATATTTACTTATAGGGAATAGGGATTATGCGTTAAAATAAACCATCACTTCGAAATATGCGATTTAAAATAGAAAATTACCGGAATACCGAATATGCCATAATGTGGCATATTATTATGCTCGCATTGCGTGTATAACATGAAAAAAGCGAAATACGACAGATAATATTCTACATAATATTGAGCTTCCCGAATGATAAATACAATTTTTAATTTCATCAATGAATAAATCCCTATCGTGAAATTCGTTTTTAATTCGAAACTTAATAAACCCATGTAGAAGTATGTAATGTTCCTTGTCGTTTTACTATTGGAGCAATATTTTTGATAGAAAACATTAGCCGAACAAATTTAAAATAATAAAATCGTTGTGTCGTATTTACGTTTTTTTATTTTGGAAGGGGAGGAGTTTTCCAATTACTATGGAAAATGCTTTGGATATCAAAAAATGACTTTTTTTAACAGTCGTTTTTAGTCGACAATATAACATCGTTATTTTTCGATTAGAGCAATATTTCTAGTAGAAATCATCATGAATAAAAATTGAAAACAATGAAAACGGTAACGCTACGGCGCGCCGTAAATATTTACCGTTTTACGTATTATTTTCTCTCGGGTTTTTCACAATTGTTTTGAAAACCCTTTGGAAAATCAAAAAAATGGCCTGTTCAATGCACTAACCAGACAAAATTTCCTTTCAGAAAAAATACTATACTCTATATTTTAGAACAACATTTCTGGTAGAAAAGTGGTTTACAAATACCCCCAAAAAAAAATATACATCATAGTCGTAAAACCAATGGATCCCTCGATACGCTCCGAATCTAAAACGAGTGAAATATTTCCAAATAATGTATTTCATAAGTTTTCAACTATTATAATAATAACCTACAATAGTAGGCGTATTTATTGGTATACCACGTTATAACATAAAAAATAACTGCAGCATCGTATTCAGTTTGAGAAAATAAAAATCGTATTAAAAATAATACATATACTATTTCTAACCAGTGTAAAATAACTGTAGAGAACCAGAAATATATTCTGTTGATTTTTTCTACAATTTTTTTTATCATTCATAATTGTTAACAATTACGTACCTTGCATAATTATTGTATTGTGTTAATGCGTGACCTATACAATTTTAATTACATATAAATACTGCATATTTCGTGTACACTCGCACCAAGGTATGCCCAATTACGAAATACAATTATTATTCATAGCAAATTGTAATAACTATATTATTATATTACAAAACATACACTAGTTATATATTATTTTTAATTTCATCTGTCGGTTAGTATAATCGCAATGTTAATTAGATAAATTATAATTTTTCCAGTTATGTTTAACAAGGTATAGGTAAATAGATAAGTTATAACCTATACATACAGGGAGAATACTGAAATTATGTACTCGTATTTCAATATTGTGCGTGATTTTCTTTTTGGTTAACGTTGAATTGAATCCCAGACTAATTTCAAGTGTTGAATCGAGTCCGGTGTATTTTCTGTAATATGTTTGAATAGGAAATAAGGTATTTAGATGGGAATTTATGATGTATATCTGTAAGTGACGATAAACACGATAAACAATTGCTAACGAAAAAACGATTCTGAGCCGAATACAGTTGACAATGTTACTTTGTCAACAATGCAATATATAAAATGATTAAAACAATGTACGTTTCCAAGACTACAATGATTGTTTGAAAAAGATTAAAATAATAAAAACTTAATAATAACAATAAATAAATAAAAACGGTTGCCAATGGCAACCTTATTTTTAATTTTCCAATCCTTTTTAATCTAAGGACCGAGGTTTTTCTCACTATCTCGAATATTAATGAGAATTTTAAAAAATGACCTCTTTAAAGTACCACCCAGAAAAAATTTCCTTTCAGAAAAGGTGCTATACTTGATAATCCGAGTAGGCTTTCTGAAAGAAAAAAATGTTCACATAAAAAAAAAAAATTAACATCATTGTAAAACCAATACATTCCTCGTTCCATTTAGAATCTAAAAACAGAAGTTTGATGAGTACATAAAAAGAAACGGATTTACATACATTTTTTAAATCGGCGACATTTTAATGGTTTACTTCATAATAATAATTATAGTTTCTGAAAATTATTAAAAATATAAAAAAATAATCGACCGTCTGAGTATTTTAAACAATATAAACAAACAAATGCATTTAAATTCACAGATGTCTCCTGTACTCCAGAGCCAATAATAACTGAAGGAACACATCTCAAAAATATTTGTTTGATTAATCGGCACTCAATTCAATATTCTCGATTCTATTATTATCATACGGATAAGGAATTATGTATGGAAATTATTTTGAGTAAATTTGACTTTGATTTTGTTTTATTTAATATTCTCTTCTCAAATAGATGTTACTATATTTGAAAATTAAAAAAAAAACATGATAAAATTTACATGCAGTTATTTTAGATAATGTCCCGATGAATGAATCACCCTGTATATATATATTTGTGTAACCAGACTATTTAGACGGATGTTTTTTTTTATATAAATTAACTTCAACGTTAATTAAACGAGACTTACCTATAATTTATTGTTAATGTTTTAATCGAGTCACGTATAAATAAATAAAACGAAAATATTCGTATGTGTGTGTGTGGGGGGAGGTGGAGGGTAATGATGATCAAAACGAATGTCAAAATTATTTTTAATGTCGGCTTAGTCGACGGCTTTGACTAGTTAACATAACATATATAAATAATCTTTTAAATGAGTTTTTATAAAACCGACCGAGACAATAATTACAAGAGATGACTGGCCACCTTATAAATCATATATTGTACACCTATCTCTACCACACAACTTACGCTACAGTGGAGTCTAAAACGTCAGACATAAGTTTTACGATTTGGCGCGTTCACATTAAAATATTATATTGACACAATGACATCGTAGTATATTATGTCTTTATTTTTTTTCGTTGGCTTAATATAGGTCGTGCGGACCGTTGTCCACAATACCATCTCGTCTCCGTCTAACATCTTATCAGCCACTATTTTTTGGCCATTTTACTGTTTATTCGCCAGCAATTTTATTTTTCGAGTCCTTTTTCATTGGGTTCATCCTATTCCCTGTCGTGGCACCGGTTTCTTACTTTTCGGGTCCCGTTTTTCTATTTCTCGGATAATTTAATGATAATAATATGTTCTTGCATCTGAGGACACACGCACGAGAACGCACGGGTCCTGTCCAACGTATATCCATACGTAATTGCCATTCAATATTGAAACTTCGGTTTATTCTCTCCTCCCGACTCGTATCTCTTAACATACTTTTTTCTCTCTTTTTTTTTTATCGTACTATAACAGTATATGCGCCCGTGTAGTTCCAATCCCTCGCACTATTCGTATCTCATATTGTTTCCGTTTCAATAGTTGTGTTATCACCTATTGTTATGATAGCGCAGACAGAAAAAAATTCTCAAGACGCATTAACCATAAGCACCGTGAACGAAATTATATTTTATCGAAGTCATGAATACCTATTTTCGAATATTCTCCTAAACTACATTATACTTGCGCTATGATAATAATTGTCATGAGAAAATATATCAAGCAACGGTTGTGAGAAACACCTGTTATTTCTGGGGGCAAAGTATAGCAACATGTTCCGGAAGGTTAGCTACTTTAATAACAATGCTGCAGGTGGACGCAAACAAAACGTATGAGTACCTACGCTCATCGTCTTGCACACTGCACAGGAAACAAAAAAGGAGAACATTTTCAAAACATAAACACAACTGCAGTAATAATAGCGTGTAATTTACGCAACGCAATAATATAGGATTGTATAAAAAATATACCGACACACTATTTTGAAAATATTTTCAAACATTATATACAAATTGCGCCTCGGGATATTATCAAATGGTTTCAGTAGTCTCGGGAAAGCATTATAAATATTAAGATTCATAAAAATTTAAGAAAAAAAAAAATCGAGTATACAAATCAAGGCGCGTATTATTATAATTCTGAGAAAAAATTTTATTTTTTTTTTTCGGTTTTTTTCAAGAACGAGAAGAGTTTGTTTAATTAAAACATAAGACACAAAACTTCAAATCCTCTTTAGCTCGTATTATTGTTATTACTTATTTAGTTTTGTTTTTGTCGGAGAGAGGAAATGGACTTAAAACGCGGGGCGATCCTTCACCGCAGGACGCTAAAGAAAATATAATCATTTCAAACTGTGCTCAAACCGTTTTCGAATACGCACCGCACCAATAATTAATTTTCTTATTCACAAATTAATGCCCACCACCATCACCTCAGCGAACATTCTTCTGTACATAAAAATATTATGTATTAAAGTTTTGTAAAAAAAAAATTAAAACTCTGAATTTGTTCACACAATTTTATTATAGTAGTATAAATATACTTTTACTTTAATTTAAAAAAAAAAAAAAACACGAGTAATTGACAATTACCTAGCAAATGTGTAATGATCAAAATGTAAGACACGAGGTAAAGTTAAAATTACGCGTATTTGATAGTATACGATAATAATCGCCTTCTTCTATCAAAAAAATGTTTTTTCATTTTTTTTTTTTTGCGAGTTCTCTCGTGTAACAGAGAGTTTTGTGTTAAAACTCGTTATATACGTGACTTTAGAATTATAATATATTAAATTCGAAAATTATCATATAAGTTATACCCAACATAATTTAAAAATTGCAATTTAAACTTTTCTCGCATCATACATCGAGTCGGACGTTATATTATTACACACGGAATATGTTTATTAACGCGAATTATGTAGGTATATAATATACATCTAATGCCGAAAACTTTTTAAATAAGACAATTATTATTAAAAAGTTTTCGATTTTCACTTTTCACTTGAGACTCAGTGTAGACAGGTATAAAATAATTTTTAAAAAAAAGAGGCACGCGTAAAAAAGAATATAATACTCAAAAGTTTTGTCGAAAAAAAAATGATAAATGTTATTTAATAAAAATAAGACTATAATATTATAACACACATATAACTCGTATAAAATGATTTAGTACATATTTGGCATTTTTTTTTTTTTTTTTAATTTTCTAGTTTACTTGCAGCGTAGTACCTGTACTTATTTTCTCTTTTTGTTTTCTCTGTCTCTCTCTTTGAAACAATAATTTCCCCAATGATATTAATATATTATTACGGACACGCTATATTATTATTACTGCAGACACAGAACTCACGCAGAGAGACAATCTAATCCGACCGTATAGGTATACAGAACTCGATGAAGAGCACAATGCTTTATTTTTAGTTTTGCCGACGACGACGACGATGACGACGACGTTCACATGTGTTATTAATCAAGATGTATAAAAACAATCACACGAGCTAAGTCACGTTTTTTTTTTCTAGTTCCTCTCTCTCTCTTGTCTCCATTACTTTTCTCAATACATATTATGTACGTAACACGACGACTTGGGTGTCCCGTATGGGCCGTGTGCAGTTATTATGTACCGAATGCAATAATCTGTCAACCATTTGTAATAGGTAATTATTATCATCAGCCGCGGCGTAAAACGATGATTTAAATTATTCGAATTTCAAAAAGAACGTTAAAGAAAAATTATAAAAAAAAAAAAAAAAAAACACCCAAAACAAACGTATAACTATAATACCTAATTTCTATTGATATCAGACCACTGCGGCACTGCTGCAGCAATGATTTATTTACCGTCTATTATTATTTTGTTTTTTTTTAAATAAACGCGATATTTTAACCATGATGTCGCGGGGTGGTCTCGTGATGTTGCAGCAGGACTCGTTTTATTTTTTCGGTTGTTTGATTATTTTTTTTACCGACAACGTAAAAACAGATAAATATTAATATATAAGTATAGGTGAAATAAATAACGGGAATACATATTCGTGTACATGTTTATTTATTTCTTTGTTGTTGTTAAAATATAATATGGTATTACGAAAATTTCGAATCATTTTTCAACGCTCGCCGCGCCGAAACCTGCTGCCGCGCCGAAACAAAACAAAAGGCCAAAGCTATTTATTATATTATTATATAAATAATAAAAGAGAATCGTTGACAAATATATTATATTATACACGCGTATATATTTTATCTTTTTCCGACCCTCGAAACGCGAAAAGGGCGTAAATGGTAAACGTCGTGTGACTCTGAATAATTCTGCCGCTTCAGTATTCTTTCCCCGCATCGCGTGCACATACAGAAGAGATTTTCTCCCCGTCTAACGACGACGGTGCACCTGGGCGTGTAAACCGAATTTAAATTAAAGGATGCCAAATGATATGCCAATGCTGTGCAAGACTGACGCAGACAACGGAAATATTATTATTTTCCCCTCCGATTCGTAAAAAGCATATTATTTTAAACGATAACAGTGGCGTCGTCGTTACAATATTTGGTATTATAGATTGATGGGGAAAACTTATCGAATTGTCCGACTAACAAGGAAAAGATAAGTAAAAAAAAAACCTGATCCTGCTGGGTGTGCCACTGTTTTAGGAGGGAAGTTGGAAAAAAGAACATAGAAAATTATTTTATTTTGTACAAAAAACCATTGCTAACGAAAAACGATTCTAATGAGAGTATTATTAGTCGTATTTTTCTATTTTTCTTCTTGATGTCAAGATAACTCGAGAATAAACAAAATGCATACAACATTTTTGACAGTTTTTCTAGTTTATTAAGAAAACTATAAGGAAAATAAAAAAAATAACATCCACAATGCACCAACTAATATTACAAATATTACAAACGAATTCCTATAAAGTTTTTGATTAGAGAAGATTTCTACTAGAAAAAATTGTTTACAGAAACAAAAACAAAAAAACATGCATAATAAAATAAATACATTCCTCGAATTGCTGAGGGGGAAAAAAGGTATTTCAGGTCTTTGTACTCTCAAAAAAACAATAGTACCTACCTACGCATTTTCGCGACATTTCCGTGAAACATTTCAATTTGATATTTTATTAAAAATAAGAAAATCGAAAAGTTGACCAAGCGCAGATTAGATCAATGTGCAAGAGCATAAAAAAAAAGGTATATATAATTGATTTCGTCGGTATCTTGACATTTTTTTCCCAGATCCCCGAGAGAGCCAGAGAAGACCAACCGAAACCAAATACCGACAATGCTAAACGATGCCCAAATTATTGCTCTCCCCCCCTCCGTCCAAAATGATACCACTGAAAAATGTTTATGGTAAAAGCATCGATATAAAACATCGATTGTGTTCAGTGTTTTCTGTTATTTTTTGTGTACTTTGTATATGTTTAAAATATTTAAAAAAAAATGAATGCTAATAAATATTCGAACCATGGATACAGGTATTGCCGTGTGCTAATATTATTATAATTAGCGTCGGTGATGGGAGGAGCTCGAAATGTATAATTATCATTTCTAATAAGGTGCGCGAACTGCGGACACGGTCGCACGTCGACCAATCAAAACCGTCTAAACGTCACGCGCGTATACAAAACACCGCCATTTTTTATTATTTAATTTCACATTTGAAAAAATCGAAGAAAAAAAAATACCGAACCCGATACATATTTATAAATCATTAACACGGTCCCGTGTATTTTAATAATATTATTCGGTATTCGAATATATACTTGGCACGTCATAATATTAATATATATTCCACGGCGTACGCCGACTATACGGATACCCATCAATTATTTTTTTAATTTATGATATTATTATACATTATCACTACTCTACATATATACATATATGTGTGTGTTAATATTATATTAACATCAAATATTTGGTAATTATTATTAAGTATAGACGCGCGTTCGACGGTCCAAAATATTGATTTATAAATTAATAATATTTAACTGTGGCGTATCTTTGATCTAACGGCTCGGTCTCGGAGCGTGTTATGATATAGGCGAGAGAATAAAAAAATAATAATAACAACAATCCTACTTATAATGTTTTCACGTCTTTGTAATCGACCGATCACGACAACAATAATAACAGCAAAACTGATACATCCTGATGGGTGCTGCAGGTGACAAGTTGAGACGTATTGAGTTATTTTATTTATGCGCGCAACGATAAATCGCTATTAATGAAATACGATTCTGGAATAAACAAAAAATTTAAATATTCTAAACAATGTTCGGCTTTTTTCGTTTTAAACACTAAGTAAAAGTAGCACGGCCTATGACGCGACCCTCGTAGTAATTGTCAAACAGTTTTACTCGCGAAACAATTTTATCCGCATAAAACTAAAATGTCTATGAATAGCTAAAAAAAAATAATCGAAAATAACAGAATCGTCATCGCGTACATTTTTTCGTCTTTCTCCATTTACTTCGCATTTGTTATAAGAGAATTTTAAAAAAATTACCCGGCCGCGCCAACTATAGATAAAATTCGCTTTCGGACTTGACGATCGGAGTAAGGTTTTTTTTTTTTTTGTAGAAAAGTTGTTCACGGACCCGAAATCGTGCATAGTAGAACCTACAATACGTTTCCCCGCTGCGTTCGGAATCTAAAAAAAACGTTTTCGGGCCGTCGAAGAGTCACCGGTCTCATAAAATGTCCCGCTAAACCCGTGTCCACTGTTATGTAGGCGCCTAATAGTATTATCCGTGTTTCGTGTAAAATAGTATCGCGATAAATTCCTCGGTAATTTCGATCGTGTTCAGTGTTTGGGTACGCGTTATTGCCCCGTGATGTCGTGTATCGATAATACGCGGACGAGAGGAGCGTTGGGTTTTCGGTTTAATTTCGCACTCGCGACTATGGAAACGTCGTCGTCAAATTATAAACCTACGCCGCGTAGGCGCGCGGGTACATCGGAACTCTCTGCGCGAGCGGAAAATAAAACATTAACCTGGACCGTCGAATTGTGTCGCATTATTTTGATATTATTTACGCTGAAATAGCGCACAGTGGCGACTGCCAACGGACGAAATAGTTTTTTCTACGCGTCGGTAATGTTTTCGCGACGTGCGTAAACGGAAAATTCACTTTGTAAAATAACTGCGTATAATATTTATCGGTATTTACCGATATACCTACGCGACGCGTTGCGTCCTTAGCGCGTGCGGTTATCAGTGTGGTCACCAGGTACCCTGGGTAACCCAGATTTTTCTCTGCACCACGAACTGCTCGTAAAAACTTGTAACCCCGTCGAAGCCTTTCGGCCGACCGGCGAATCCATTGAACGGCGAATACGTGTAAACGGACATGTGACTGCGGGGTACCAAAATATTCACGCCGCGTCGGATAATGGAAAATGGGACGCGTGATCACCGCAGTGCGTTTCGTATACACGTAATAATACGCGTAGTCGCGACGTTTTTTTTTCCCCCGAGTGTTATCGAATATTATTGACGTTTTTCTCATCGCCTGTGTACATCTAAACCGTTGCAAACGCGAACAAAAAATAAATAAATACAAAAAAAAAAAAATCGTCCCGATAACAAATTGTCTAACACCATGAGACTGTTCGAATTGGTACGTAAAAATAAGTTTGAATAGTTAATTTAATCGCGGATAAATTTAGACAATCAAAATTCGCCGTCCAACCCATACCCTACAGTTTTGCCTGCCTGGTTTCTCGGTCTAAATAGATACATGTCTTTTCTTTTTCGACGACTGCGAAAACTACCCGGAACCGATTCGGCGGTGATCAGGAATCGACTCGTATGTGTCCAAAATAAGAACTGATAAGAAATATCTGCACTCTGCAGACAAATACACATTGAAGGATTATCCGTCGGAAATTCATTCAGTCGATAACGCCGAATTTCTGAACAAGATTCAACAATAAAATATTTGCAAACTGTTAAGTTTTGGAATGCGCGTATAAAATTATGGTAATTTTGATTAAACATCGCTGAATTTCGGAAGACACCATATTATATACAATTCTAAAAGGGCTAATGTTATTTCGTACATAAAACGATCTTTTATTATGATGAGCGATGATGACCTACCTTCCTATACGCTACGAAATTATTTAGTATTTTTATGTCTTGTTTTTTTATTTTAGTTTTGATAATTTCAGATAGGTTTACAAATAATTGCTATCGATGCAAATTATACTGTGATTATAAAAATCGTAAAACGTACAACCGTGAAAATCATAAAAATTAACGTGAACGTTTTTCAAGGAAATTGCATATATAAAAGTCACCGATAAAAAAAAAAATACGAATACACACATTAAAAAACAAATTATTATTCCCCTAATCGAGAAATCTAAACCGTGTAGAACTAATATTAAAACTCTGTATTTAAATATTTAGATATTTATCGAAGGCGGACTGGAAAGTATCCATTATTATAGAAAATAATCAGCTCAAAATGACAATCATTGGTTGTAGCTGAGAAAAATTTCGCTAGGAATAGGAGTCCAACATTTTTTTCGATCAATTGAACGGCCTTTTTAAGTGTTCTATGTTAATGATTTTACTAAGATGTGAGTGTGTGTGTTTTTTTTCTTTTTTTAGTCTGTAAAAAACTATTTTACCAGAAATCTGATTCCAATCATAGAATGAAAAAATACTTTTTTCGTAACATATTGGATCCATAGTTGGTCGTGAATTGTAGAATCATTTTTTGATTTTGCTTGTAGCTTTCTTAATGAATCGGAAAAACTGACAATTCTTTGTTTAGATTTTATAGCTTTTCGGATTATTTTTGCAACCCGGGAAAAATACGACTAATTATGCTCTGCTCAGAATCAGTTCCCGTGAACAACGATGGCTCGTCGTTGCGTACGGATATAAATTAAATTTCTCTTTGGATCCTTCAACTTGCAAATGTTTTTTTATTATTATTTGAAATATCTCAAAATAACGAAGAATCGTACCATACCTGTACCATAACGTGGCAAAAAATATTTCTATATCCATCACCGTCAATATTCTATAATATAATGAATTTAAAATAAAAAGCAAAACTCTGTCGACGACGACACACTAAATTCAATATTGTCGAAGTGATATTTATTTTTTATTTTTTTATTTCGTTTTCGAAACAATATTTTATAGATATATTACGCGAGTAGGTATGTAGGTAAATATCTCTACTTGTTAATGACGAGCGTCATTTATATAGATGTCGGGAGTTTCGGATCGCAGAGTAGGTACATAGGTATGCAGCCGCGAGTTTATTGAAACACGCGACGGAATCGATAACGAAGAGAGGGGGGGGGGGTTGGAAACAAATCGAAAACATATTTTTTTACGACCGACACACGTAATATACATATTATATAGGTGTTGCGTGCGGACGCAGACGGCGGTGGAGTTACTAAGGAAAAAAAAAAAACCAATTTTTCAAAAACGAGCACCGGCAATCGGTTAATAAACGCACCGGCGAAATGCCGTAATATATTATACGAATTGTCCCCGAAATGTCGATTTACAACACCGCGCCGCCGCCGTCATCGTCGCGAGTCGTTATAATAATATTATACGTAGGTATAAACGTTAAAAAAAAAAAAAAAGAAGAATAAGAAGACGAAAAAAAAAAAATAGATAATTTACTTACGACATTGTCGTTTCCGAGCGGTCGTATAAATAACAACAACGCGCGCGCACTACGACTCTGCTCGATTACGAATTCGATTCACACGTTTATTTTTTCTCTTCCACGACATTACACACTGGCGCACTGTAGTGCGAACGTATTTTATTATTATAAAAATATTACCGTCAGAATTATGTATATATATATATATTTTTTTTTTCTCGATATTAAAACGATAATAATCGTTAAGGGAAATCGAAATACCGTCGTCGGCACACACTTGACGTGGAGGTTGTTTTTTTTTTTCTGAGTGGTCGCATCATCACAATCCGTTCGCTTCTTGTAACCGGACAACGGGCATACCTATTGGTACCCGAAGCGGTGTAGGTACTCCCGCGTAATGGTAATAATCCACAATAAAAATAGTATTATACACGAGCGGGGCCGCACAAAACACTATCATTGTATACAGGGTGATTATACTGTTATTATCGCGTGAACCCGCGCACAGATTATCCATATTACAAAACGAGTATCCGTACCACTGTATACGTTTCGATTTCCCGTGGTTCATATTTTCCACTCGTATATTTATAGCTCGGTAAACTACCGATTTTTGTTTTTAACTGGTTGATTTATTCTATACGTGAGAAAAAAAAAATTTTAACTAAGACAATTTTAGTATGATAATAACGGCATAAGGTAATTTACAGATTTCAAGAAAATAATAAGCTACACGTTAATTTTAATAGAAACGAAATCGTTGATAACTTAAGTTTAAATTATTTATTCAAACCGCGTTATTTTCAAACATTCCGTGTGTTTTAACTATATAGTTATCAAAACTTATAACTTATATTATAACTTAACTTTTAACTAGTCGCCGAGTTTCAGCTTTGGTTATAAATGACGGCATTTAAAATAATTATATCGGAAAATGAAAACAACAACGAGAAATGTTACAATTTTCACTTCTAAAATATCTCTTACAGCACGAATCGAATGGTGGGTATACCTGCTCACGGAATGTGTATTATAGTAATTTTCTTCTTATCTTCGTAAAACTAGCCGGCGGCATTTTCGTTAGATATGCACGCAGAACCAAAAGTCCAAAATCAAATGTACCTATACCAGTGGCTATACCAGAGGGGATGACGTTAGGGGTTATATCACCACCCCCCCATTGGCTTAAAAAATACAAAAAAATACGAGTTATCTAATATCGAAACTCATAATTTCCGAAAAAAAGCTTGATGTATTGATTTTCGAATTGGTATTTTTTTTTTTTAGGATCCGGTTTTTAAATGACCGATTCCCACAGTCGAGTTGGGTGGAGAAGACGATTTTATTCGTTTTTCACGATTTTTATCTGTTACATCCCCTCCCATTGAAAATTCCTAGACACTGACGTATACGCTTTACGTTTTCGTCGAACATTATACAATCCACTCAGATAATAATGATACTTGGCCGGTTCGCGATTAAATAACATTAACACGATCGCCCTGTATGTTATAAAATATTACGTAATCAGAGAGAAGCACACGACGGATGACTTTACGTTTGGCGACGGTTCAACGGCGACGGCGGCGGCGGACGGTCATCAATCACCGAATGTAATAATCATAATGGTCATAATAATAATGATAACTACACCGCTACGCAACTACTACACTACACTAGTGTTGTCGGGTTTTTATTTATTTTTCGAAAACGCACGGTTCCGTATTCGGGGCGGCGGCGATTTATTTTATAATATTTACCCACGTTATGGTTATTGTTATTGATGTTGTTGTTGTTGTTGTTGTTGTTGTTGTTGTTGTTGTTGTGAGCCCGTCATCTGTCCGAGAGGAGAACCCGTGAAAACGCATTACACCGCGGCGGTACGGCGCAGATAATACGTGTCGGTGCTAACACTTTTTCTTTTTTTTATCTCTACTCCGGCAGTGTCATTAAATAATAATAATGATAATAAAAATTGTCGTCGGCGTTATCAAACGGTATGATAATTATTCTAATATCATAAAACTAAAATAGTATCTACTGATAATAGCAATAATAATAATAATAATAAAAATTGTCGTCGGCGTTATCAAACGGTATAATAATTATTCTAATATCATAAAACTAAAAAATGATCTACTGATAATAGTAATAATAATAATATGTAACGACGACGAACATACCGCGACCTGCGGGTCGTCCGAAACCAATATAGGTAGGTGTGCGTTTGTCTGCGGCGTACTTACCTGAAACAAAAAAAAAAAGAAAATATAATAACCATTAGAAACTGATGTGAAATACGAGTATCACTAAGCATATTATAATATCATCTACGACTCGAAAGTCACTTTTTATACGCGGTGTCGATGGTTTTAAATAGATTTTTCAAATTTTTTTTTTTGAAAACTTATTCTGTCAGACATTTCAACACTTATTCTGTCAAAACATTATGAGTCGGTATATTATTATCGCTACAAGACACACTGCATTTCATCTGTCGTTTTCAAATGTATAGAATAATAATATCATGAAACACTTTTACCCGTAGGAATACCGCGGTAATCGTATACCATTTGAATTATACACGATTTTTAATAGCAAGACTTTTAACTTGTCAAAAAAATAGAAGCTGAGTTAATTCTGACTTTTAACTTATTAGCCTTTGATTGTTCAGCCCGGTAGTACTTAAGTCGAAACAATTATCGACATTTTAAACTGCTCATTCCCTACGATTTTTTTTAGATTCTGAGTGTATTTTGTTTGTTTTTCTCGGAAAACATATTTTCAGGTAAGTAGTAAGAAAAGAACCTTCGCTCCATATTTATTCGTACCGTACCTTAAAAGATGCGAATTTTTCGACCAATAAAACTTTATTTGAAAAAAGTGTCTAGATTTCCAACAGTTTTTCTATACAATTTCATAACCTAATAATACATATCGAAACATTAAAACAAATACTACTCCGTTCAAAATAAGGTTATATGTTTGTTATGATTTATCACTGCATACATTATATATTAACTGGATTTACCAACTACAACAGTAGCCTACCCGAGACCACATTAAATTTTTTTTTCTTTTTACACAATATTAAATGCACAATCTATGGTTGAATAGGTACCGTAATATAGTAGTAGTATAGTATAGTATACACTGTAAATAATGTTTGTTTTAATTATTTTACTCAATAACGCGCATGGAGAGTTGATTTCAAAACAAGTACCTAAAATGTTTGATATTTCTTCGAGTTTGATCATTTTTTTATAATTTCATAACAAAAATTACAAATTCTTAAGTTTCACTATAAGTAGAACAATATCTAACTGTAATGCGAACAAAAAAAAAAAAAATTTAGTAACTGAACTTAATTCAATAAAATTTAGTAACTGAACTTAATTCAATAAGTCAGTTCGATTTTTAAATCAGTTTTAAACTCAACTTGATCAATTAATAAAACAGTTAACTCAATAATTATTTTTTCAGTTAACGTAATGTACTAATAATTGAATAAATATTATTCAGACTCGCCCAGCCTCGAGTCTATTGGCGTGGTAACTTCTACCAATAATTGTCAATATTCTTCATTAAATTGAAAAAACTAAAAACAATTAAAAAAACAAAATTTAATTAATTGTACATAAATTGATTGATGCGGTTTTAAATCATATAATAAATTAATAATTATAGTATATACAATAAACCTGTCCGTTATGAAACGAAGTTTAAAAACAATATTTTAATTTATGAAAAAAGGAATTAATCTTGCTGTGAATTGCAAATTTAATTTGTCTCAAAGATTTATTTATGTGTAAATATATTTATTTTTTTTTTATATTTAATAACACGGTATTAAATACCTAATAATATTACAGTTTTAATGTTTTTCGACGTGACACACTCTGTTGGGGGTAAAAAGAAAATATTCAGAAGAGTTCTACTATACATCTGGTATGATAAATTAATTTAGAAAATATCACGTTGAAAAAGTACGCTATAAATAATATTGCCCCGGTGTGATGAATTTATTATTTTTCACGATCGAAAGTTATTAACGTGAGGTTTTAGCTCTCTAAATTTTTGCGACGGTTAAAAATTACTGCAATTATCACGAGTACCTATACCTAACATAGGTATATTGAACATAAAAACATAATAATATAATTACAAACAAAATTATTCAAAGATAAAAAAGCGGAAGATTTATGATCTTTTTCAATAATAAAAATAAAAAATAAAAACTTGCGCTGGTAATAAATTATTACTCATCGCTTTTACAATATAATATTTTGAACCAATGCTTAGGTAGGAATATTAGATAGGAAATTAAAATTGTCGAGATGGAAAATAAAAAGCCACAAGTATATTATAAATTATTCTAATCGATGTGCACGGTCGGTCGTAATCAATTTGTTTACACGGGGAATAACGCATTCTGCTATAAAATGTTAAAATTACTATCAACATCATTGAATAGTGAATTTCATTATGGTAATATACAACACCGTTATAAATTTGTCTTTTTTCGATATCGGTAAATTAAAGAACCATTCAATTTATCGGCAGAGTACAATTTTGAACTATAGTTAAATAATAAAAAAATTCCGACCAACATAAATTTATTTTTTGTTAAAAAAAGCTCGTGAAACATATTAACTTTCTAATAGTTATCTGGAACTTTTTTTTCTCCTCAGTATTTAACCAAATTTCGGTTTTTGCTAACATTTTTGAAAATCGCACTTCAAATCAGAAAAAAAAAAACAAAGCAAAAACAAAACTTTAAAAACATATTTCGAAGATTTTTTTTGTTTAAAAGTTTTTTGATTTTCAGTTGGTTGGTAGTTTTTTCCCCGTATAATTAATCTTTATGGTGGTCTAACCGGAGTACAAAATTATTCATATTTGTTTTAGTATATATATATAAGCAATGCATTTCTAATCAAAAATAGAGTTCTCAACGGATTTGTATAATTTTTTTAATATAAATCACTTTCAATTATAAATTATTTTATTAACAAAATAAATTATAATAAATTGCTCACTTTAACGTAATTTAAACCTAAAACATTAATAACAAAAAAAAAAAAACAAAAAAAATAATAATAATAATAATAATAACGACAATACGCTCGACTTGTTTTTAAACTCTGACCGAAATGAGAAATTTATTGGTTTGACCATAGGTATTACCTATTATGTATTTTTTCTGCCTGTAAACAAATTTTCTACCAGAAATCTTGCTCCGGTCATCAATTTTAGGGCTGATTTCTAATGGTATATGTATTTTAATATGTATTTGGTGCCTATTCGAAAATTGAACAAGAGCTTCATCATAAATTTTACTTAGTAGTAAAAAACAATAGTGCGCGTAATGTTAATTTTTTTTTTTTTAAAGCGTTTATTCGAACCGTTTTGAAAATCGCAGTTGTCACGAAACTTTTAAAATGTATATGTTTAACCGAACGTCGCCCAGAATCGATATTTCTCTAGCAATGATTCAGGGTTTCGTACAAGTATAAATAAAATAACTATCTGTACAACATCCTAATACATTCCAGACTTTTCACAATCCCATCTACTTGCAGTATGGTATTATAGGTACCTACCCGTCAAAGGTTGATGTTTTTTACGATAATCGCCAACATCGAAACTTCAAACATATAAATTTAAAAATAAAAATCATGAAAATTAAGCACACATCTTAAATGAATAGCTTCGTGGCTATAGTATAAATTAAATATGTATTATATACGATCAGAGTTTAAAATCTTGGATTTTCTTTTTCATTTTTCTTACTCGCACGGGTCGTCCACTCTATGGTTTGCCGATGAATTTAATATATATATATACACACCGCCTACACACATCACTTTTGCTCTCTTCAAATCCGCGTTCTATTGGGTCATTCTAAGCACATCGTTTCTCGAGAAGATTTGACGGGAAATTCCCAACTGCGGCGCGCCAAGGCTCCACTTTGACACGTTCGCAAGCTTCAAAAGTTCAAGAGTTTCTGTCGGCATGTATGTATGTATATATACATATACTATATGTAAGTATTATAGGGTAGTCGACGCACGTCCGTAATTTTGAAAACGTTCACCGAATAGTTTTACACTTTTACCGAATATTATTTTGTATCTCGTCGTCGGTGTCGTGTCAAAATATAATATTTGGATTACGCGTTTCGGGTTTATTTATTTATAAACCGAACAATATACATGCCATTCGTCCTATGTTGTGTTATACAGTAGCTGTCCCGCACAGCTTAACCCGCACACAGTATTGAACGAAAAAAAAGGCTGATATTGCCGATGGGCGTGTCTCTATTTCAGGAAGAAAGTTGGAAGAAAGGATACCTACACAGAGAAATTTAATTTATATCGACACGAAACAATACATTTTTGTTATGGAAAAACGATTCTGAGCAGAGTATTATTAGTCGTATTGTCCGCGTTGTTATCGAGGTAAACCAGAAATCATATACAAAGCAATTTTCAGTTTTTTCCACTTATTAAAAAGTTACGAGGAAAACCAAATGACCGTCTCAATGCAACAATAAATAACTAGACATTCTACAAGAAAGTTCCTATAAAGTTTTTGACT